GGGGTTAGGTGGAGGGGTGGGTGGAGGGCTAAATCCTGCCTTTGCTAGGACTTAAGGCTGCTTGATCGCAGGGAAGGCATTCAAGCTCTCAAAGCTGAATTATCACTTTCAAAGTGGTGAGAAACAAAAATGATGTTCCAGGAAGGCCCTTAGCAAAAGGCTGGGCTCACAGGTGTATTTATAAACTTTATGCCCTTGGGCTAACTACTTTGTGCTCTGAGACAAGCCATTTGCTTTCTCTGGATTTCACTTTCCTCCTCAGGCAATATTCCTCGAAGGATGCTTCTAACCCTGTACACATTCCTGTAATCCAAGCTACTTGGGCTGAGGCAGGAGGGTCACAAGTTCAAAGGCAGCCAAGGCAGCTTCATGAAACGCTGTCTCAAGATGGTGATATTAAATATTTTAAGGGTCTGGGGCTATAACTCAGGGGTAAGATTGTTAGTCTAGCATGTGTAGGCCCTGAGTTTAAGCCCTAACCCTAAAAAAGAAACTGCTTCCTGCTTCAAAAGCAGATTTCTTATACCCAGAGTTTGTCACCCTGTCTTTCTATACTAACAGTTCCCACTCCAAGAAATCCTTTCTCCATTCAAATTGTGAGAGCCCTTGGTGCCAGATAGGTATGGCCAATCCAGGAGGGGCTCTGGAGGGCATTTCCTTCACATACTGCCTGGCAGCACCTTGTCCCCACACTGGCAGATGGTCAGAGTTCTTATCTGTACGCTGACATGCTCAGAGACTCATCCCGTTCAGAGGAATCACTGGGCCTGCAGCACCACCCAGGGGTATCCACACAACTGCAGTGTGGACTTGTGTTCCATGTCGCCCCTAGTGGTAGCTCCGGGGAGTGCGCTCTCCCTCCAAATCCAGAGTTATCTAATACCCCACAGAGACCCCTGCCTTTAGGTCTCTTCCTTCTGCCTGGAGCCCATTACTGACAGGTCATCTTTGTCCTTTCTTCCCCTCTGTCATCTATGCTATAGCTCTTGGCAGTGGGTCACCTCCACTCAGCTCAGTCCCACCTCCCGGCCTGCATGCTTTCTCAGAGCAAAGATGCAGAGAACATAGACCATACTTATCAATGGGGCAGGAAAAGGCCTTGGTTGTCCTCACCCCCCCCCTTTTACTGTCTATACAACAGTCCTGGGTCCAGAAATAAAGCTTCCTGGGGGAAGCCACGGCTTGTTTGTTCTTTCAGTCCACCAACAGCTGAGAGTCTCCAGTGGCCAGCTCACATGAAGCAGCCTCTGCCTTTGTGGGTGTGGCTAGCAGTGGGGAGATAAAGGCCCTGAGAAAGGACACAGGGCAAACACACTGTGTCCATAAAGACCTCAACACTTTCCAAGCCCTGCTTCCTGTTACTGGTTCTCTTGAACCAAATGGTTTAAAGAAAGACCCAAATGCCTTCAAAGTCCAAAGAAAAGCATTGATGACAGCAGAAGGCAGTAGGGCCATGATTGTGATGTCCTAAAACACTGGGTGGCTGTGCCTTCCATTTATGGTGAAGCCAGTTTGGCTAGAAGTGTAAAAATCCTGTCAGTCAAAGAAACACTGGTATCCAGAACCTATAACAAACCTCCTCCAGTGCATTCACAGGCCACCAGCTGACTGCTGTCTGGTCCATCTCACAACAGCTGTCCTCAAGTCCTTTCCAAGTCAGCATAGCAAAGCCAGACGAGCCTGGGGGGGGGTCAAGGCATGGCAGCCCAAACTAATCTAAGTGGCTGCAACCTCTGTTCTAAACCTTCTTGAAGAGGCCTCCCCTCCCAGTGGCCCTGAAGGCTCCCATGTATTCAGCTAGATATACGAGGAACGCATCAAGCTGCTGATCATCTCTGGGCCTCCAGCTATACACACAGATATGCATGCATGCACAGATATCCAGGCTGCTCCAGCAGCCCCACCTCTGGGGCTGGTGCCTAGCACATGCTCACATTACCCCAAAGCTGGTAGGGATTTATTTTTCAGTAACACCCTACTCCTTATCATCTCCTCCACCTGCACTAACCGCCCCACTGTCTGCCTCTACCCACGGGGCCTCCTGTACAGTGTGACATTTGGCATAATGGGGGAAAGGGGAAGAGATGGGGTAAAGCATGAATTGCCCATGTGTGCTCTGAGGTATCTGCTGTCACTGCGCTGACTCAGGGTGAGTACCTTCCCCTCTCTGGTCTTAGCATCTTGGTCTGGGAGGTGTCAGGGTTTGATTACTCTGGGCTTTGAGTATTAGGGTCATAACTTTCATAGGGGACAGAACCCCACAAATTTGGGGATGTTGGTCAAGGGTCTCAGTCGAGCACTTAAACAAGAGAGGGGCAGGCATGGGTGTCCTCAGCTCTGGACCTCAGGTAGTGCTCAAGGGCAAGGTGGGATCTAGGAGTGTGTGTGTAAGGTGAGGTGGTTATCATAGAGAAGACAGAAGCTCAAGGGTGTGGGCCTAGATTTCCCTGGTACCTTCACAGCTCAAGAGTGTTCCCTTCAATCACCCTCCTACTCCCCAGATCTCTGGGTGTCAGATGCCATAGACTCCACATTTGCAGTTGGCAGCCAGGGTTTGGCCTGAGTCATACTGGGTATTGGGGTGTGTGTGTCCAGCCCAAGTAGCAAGTGGAAAAAAGACATAGATGAGTACTGAAAATGTGCGCAACAGAGTCTGCCACCTCCAAGGTCTCCAGTGGGCTTATCACTCAGGTGAGGCCAGGACTTGTAGTGATGGACAAAAGTCAGCAGCCTTGGAGTCATTTTAGCCCAAGCCTTTCTTTTCTTCAATGTGGAAACTGTGGCACCGAGGGTCCTGGAGATGAGGTGGCAGAGGACTCATCCAGGGCCACTCAGTGGATCAGTGATAATGTCTGCCACCCCAGGCCCTGTTCTAGGCACAGTGCAGTCACTGGGAATCACTCCCACGCAGTGGCTACTATCCTGTACGTATTTGGCTAGGTCTTGGCCATCCATGGGGATGAGATCTCTTCTGGAGTTCTCTCTGAACTTGCTGGGAGCAGCTACAAGGCCAGCAAAGAACTTCTGGAGTGTTGGCCACCAAGTGCCTGATGACGCTTCCCTGGTACAGCTGGAGTGACATGGCTCTCTGTGCCTGTCAGAGATGGATGCTCAGAGAGCAGCAGCGTGGGTCCAACCACAGGGTGAAGAGGGGAAGTGCCTTCTGTGTAGATTATTCTGGGTTCCCAGACTGGTCAGACAGACCTAAGGCCAGAGTAACCAGGGCTGGGGTGATACAGGCCTTCCCCAGGGTGCAGAGACTCACCAAGCCTCCACATGGGCACAGCAGCACAAAATAAAAGCCTCCATCTCCAGAGGTCAGGGGCTCTGTTTGCTACTTGCCTTCATAGTCAGGCCTTTCTCCTGTGGGGCAAGTGTGTCCCTGCCACCCAGACCTTGCATTACTATGCCCGTGACATTAGCATACAAGAACATTAGCCATCCATTGATCTTACTGAGCTCCAGGCAAGTGAGAATAAAATTATTTTTTTTATTTCCCAAAAAAGTAGAGGTGGGGAAACAATGTGATAGAAATTATGATCAGCTCCTTCTGGGTTCTCTGCCTCTGTAGAACAACAAGCAGTTGGTCTGTCTTGGCTGGGGGTCCTGGAGGGCTTCCCCAGTGCAGGCTGAGCCTCTTCCTCCAATTTAAATATTGGTTAGTCCATTAGCTCTCAGGATGACACAGCATGGGTCCCTTCCTGATACAGCTGACACCCCCCCCTCCCAACCGCCCTCACACTTCCCTCATGCCCTCAGCCTCCCTGACCTCCCCTTCCCTCTATATTCTTGCTCATCCTCACTGGTCACCGCCAACAGCCTCCTGAGACAACCCACCCCATCCTGTTTCTCCTGCCCTGATAGCAGCAGTCTCAAGCCACAGATTATACAGTGGCCTTGATGGCAAAGCCTAGCTCTACCCAAAGGGCCTTAGGGGAGCCTGGCAAGGGGCCTCTGGTAAAGGTAGATTGTCCTAAAGCCCAGCCCTATGTTACCCTCCTATCAGAAGCATTCTGTAGGAAATGTTAATACAACAACACCTAAAACAAACAAACAAAATTGTAAAACGAGGAAAGAACTAGTGAGAGGCCAAGTGCTAGCCAGACTGGCAACCCTATCCTGGGGAGAGCAGCTCAGGCACTCTCCTGCAAGGTCCACATTCGCTAGACCAAGCATCAGGGATGGGCCAGAGGATTTGAAAAAGGTCTGACCACCCTAGAATCTTGGGTTTTGAACTAAGAAGCATCTGGCTGGAGTGAGAGATAGGTTATGGCTCTAGGCTGGCCAGTCCTATCTTCAACCTGGCCACTGCTTCTGCTGAGCCCACACGGGGGACATTCCCTTTGGTCTCCGGAGTTGGGTAGATAGTGAAACAGAACCTTCGTAACCCTAAGGCCTGGAGCTATGAATGGTGGGTGTGGGAGGACTTTTCCTTGGGTCTCAAGGTCTAAGTTGGCCCTGGGCAGCTGGAGGGAGGCCCTATGTACCAATCCCAGCCATGGGAAGGACACCCAGAACACACAGCATGTCTTCATCCAAACAACCAGACCACAGGCAGGCAGGGAGTGTAGAGCCAAGTCCTAGACCCTGCTCCACAGACCCCCAGTGTGTCTGTGGGACAGAAGGGAGTGCGGACTAAGGTCTGGTGCCTAGGCTTCGAGGAGCGGAGTTTTATACCATATCAGGGATCTTTAGATGCAGAAGTTAAAGGCAGAGATGCAGTCATCTGCTTCAGCCACCTCTCTCCTGATCTTTGGGAGAAGGGCCTGGGAGGCAGAGGCAGAGGGGACAGGGTTAGGGCTGACAAAGGGGAACCCCATGAGGATTGGGTGGGGGGTGGGGTGGGGAGAAGAACAAGAAAGGATGGAAGACCAAGCATGGGGACTGTGAGCCAGCGGACACTTCAGTCTCATGAGAACCCTTCAGAACAAAAGCCCTCCCCTCCCTCTGGCCGTTACCCCAACTGTGCCCCTTCCCCGAGGGTGCCCTGAGGACTGCTGTCATTTATGGAGGTAGGCATCCAACCACAGCTCCCCAGACTTCTTCAGGGAACTGCAAAGAGAGAGAGGACCAGGGCTCAGGAACCAGGATGGAAAGGAACCAAGGCTTCTAGCCTGGGACATGTAGAAGTCATGCAGCTCATTTCAGCTACTGACCAGGGCTTGCCACTTACCACAGGGGCTGTGGGCTACTGATTAATGCTCCCTAGGGAAACCCCTGGGGAAGGAGAGAGGGGAGATCCTCTTCCAGCCCTGGGTAGACCAGAGGTCAGTAGTCTCTACTGTAAGGCCAGCCATGTGCCTCTCACCTCAGCCCCACTGAATCTCTGGCCCCTACCGGTGCCTCAGAGCCCCAGCACCTGTTAAGCCCAACCCTCACCTCACAATGTCCAGCAGGGCCCTCAGCAGTGGCTTCTCCTGGTACTCAATGCCGTGCTTGGCGCAGAGAGACTTCACAAGTGGAGCGATCTTGTGCAAGTTGTGCCGTGGCATGGTGGGAAAGAGGCTGAGGGGGCAAGTGGGCAGAGTGAGTGCACGCAGGACCCGTGTTCTCCACCCCTCCCTAGAGCCCAGGGAGGCAGGCAGGCTGAGGCCTGCTCTGCAACCTGGAGAAGACTATGAAACTCCTACCAACTGTCTACAGGGGCTACTAGTGATGTGTAGAGGGGCAATTTATGAGCAGGGGCACTCCAGAAAGCCATATTGGTATCGCATAGCCAGACACAAGGGACTCGTGTTTTTTTTTAAAAAGAGAAAGAAACCAATCTGAGTGTGAAGGCTCACACCTGTGGTCTCATCATTTGGGAGGACAAGGCAGAAGACCTGTAAATTCAACTCCCAGCTTTAAAAACAGGAAATGAAAGAGACAGATGGGAGGTAAGATGGGAAGAATAATAAAAGATGAGACAGAGGCAGATGCACTAGGGACAGTCCGTTAGCTACCCACGCACCACATAGGCTATCTAGCAGGTCCTCAGTTTCCTAGTCAATTAACCTGGAGTGAGTTTCTCGGCGCTGGGAGCATTGCAGGACTGTGAGATGGTCTTGCAAGCTTTCTGTATCTGCAAAGTGGCCACACATGAAGGAGTACAGTCTCCAGGATGGCCACATGGCATGGGGCCTGGATAACAATGCCTCAGGACGTGCTGATCCCAGAGCCCCTCTCCTGCCCAACCGTGTTCTCAGGTGGGTTAGGTAGTGGCCTTGCCAACAAGAGAAGATAGAACTGCATGGCACCCTTGGCCTGGGGGTGGTGACCACTGTACCCCCATTCCTCGTCTACCCTCTCCCCCAGGCTTGCTGGGCCACACTCACTGGTGCTCGATCTGGAAGTTGAGGTGCCCGCTGAACCAGTCATTGAAGAAGGACTGTTCCACATTGCAGGTGGCTGCCAGCTGCAGAGGGGACAGGGAATAAGTGGCTGGGGGTAAGAAGGAAACCAAAGAACCTAGACTTGCTTCATAAAGGTCACCTTACTCAGGGTCTCAGGGGCACCTCTCTAGGTCAGACTATTTTACCTGGGAGCCTCAGCCCACCCAGATTCCTCGAGGATCCTCTGGAAGATTCCTACCATCCCTTCCATATCTTCTTGTGTGTTGTTTTTTTTAACTCAGTCTTGCCTTGGACTCCTGATCCTTCTGTTTCCACTTCCCAAGTACTAAGATTATAGGTATGGGCCACCACATGGGTTTATTGGATGCCACAGATCAAACCCAGGATTGTATGCATGCTAGACCAGCACCAACTGAGCGACATCCCTAATCTTCCCACCACCCTTTCTTGCTTAACCCTGAGGCTGCCAAGAGGCTACAAGCAGCCCTAAGGAAGCCCAGCATAGCCCTGGATCCACTGAGGCAGCCAAATCTGGGTGAAGGCTCCGACAGTGGGGTCCAGGCTTTGCAGGGTCCCTGTGACTGCCTTTGCTTTCCCTCACCTGGCTGCTGAACCAGTCCCGGTAGTGATCAAGATCAATCTCCATGACGATGTGGTTCATCTGTGTGACCCACACAAACCAGTGGCTCTCCAGGAACCTAGAAGATGGTGCAGCTCAGTGCTGAAGCCTCAGGATGGGGGACAGGCAGCCACACAGAAACAGACCCTCTGTAACTACCCTACCCCACGGCAGGCACAGGGCTCACATTACAGCCCCATCAAAGTCAGTGTTCTCAAATGCACAGGGTAAGCCAGCAAAGCTGGGGTACCTGATGAAGTTGAGGAAAACCAGGGCTCCCAGGATGCCATAGAAAGGGATGTAGGTGTAGAAGAAACGCACATAGTAGCTGATGGCCCAGGCCAAGTCCTGTAGGGGAAACAAGATTAAACTTAAGTTGCCCCACTCTTCTTGGCATGGTTTACCTAACCACCGAGCTGTGTATATACACAGCTCACACTGATTGGCACAGGTGTTCAGAAGAAACCACAGCAGGCTGCTAGGAAGTTGGGACGCAGGGCCATACAAGGTCAGACACTTGCCTAAACCACCTGCTTGCATGGGGTTTGCATTGGTGAGTTTCAGGGAGGAAATGGGATATTGGCTAGGAGGTAGCCAGTAGGTCCAGATGATTGTCATGTGAGCCCCCAACATGTGATCAAGTGGCTGTCCATTCTCAGCCTTGCCCCTGCTCAGGCACCTGGATTTCCTTCCTTTCTTAGAAGGGAAAGGGCCCGGAGACACACCACCCCTCCCTGCAACCCAGACCCAGGTCGCTTTTCAGGTTGGACTCTCTTCTTGGGTCCTCTCTCCTCATCGCTTTGTCTGTCCCTCCTTGGGATTGGTAGCAAGGTCCTAAGCTTGCATCTCTCTCCTGGGAAGCCTCTGTCCTCTGTCACAGGCTCTCAAGCAGTCATTCTGCAGAGAAATCCATGTCTCTCCACTTCCTCTGCCACTCAAGCCCCGTGACTTGGCTGGACCACAGCAAGAGCCTCCCTTTGCTCTCCTGCTGACATTCCTCATGTATCCAGGGCAACCAATGACTTGTGCTCCAAGCATATCCAACTCTGCTATAAGACAGACAGACAGACAGACAGACAGACAGACACACACACACACACACACACACACACACACACCGCCACGTAATCCAAGTGACCATGGAGCTCTGCAGGATCCAGAAGCCCCTTTGCCTAAGCACCCTGACCCGGCTCCTTCAGGACCTTTGCACAAACTGTTTGCCGTCAGGAATGCTCATGCCCAGCCAATGCTTATCAGAAGGTTATTTCATCAAGGACCAGCCACTCCGAGGCAGTGGGAAAACCCCAAAGAGAGGCTGGAGAGGTGGTCCACTGGATAAAAGCACTGGCTACTCTTCCAGAGGTTACAGGCTCGATTCCCAGAACCCATACAAAGGCTCACAGGCATCCATTGTAACCCTAGTTCCAGGTGAACTGATGTCCTCTTCTGGCCCCTGTGGGCACCAGGCAATGCACAGATACTCATGCAGACAAAACAAAAACCAAACCAGAGGTCTTGAAATGACAATAGAATCTGGCACGTTGGTGTCTTAGTTCAGGAACAAAATGGAGAACAAAACCAGGACCACATTGATGACAAAGACATGGCAGATTCCAGAATGATTTAGAGAACAAGGGTGGCCCTAGACCGTGCTTTCTTGGTTGCAAGGAATTGAGGTTGGTCCTTAGGGCCATTCCAGATTTTCAGAGTGCTGTCAGCTAAGTTGGAAAGGGGATGGACAGCTCAGGAGGGCAGAAAAAAACAGATGCAACAGTTAGGAGTGGCTGGAGACAAGATGCTCAGATGTGGCAAGAGATCAAGAGGAGCAGGCACAGCAAGCACTTTGATCATCCTTTCTTTTTTTTTTTTTTTCCCTGGGCTGTGTTTGAACTCAGGGTCTCAAGAATGCTAGGCAAGTACTCTGCCACTGAGCCAATCTCCAGCCCCATGTTAATTTAGTGCATAAATGGAGTGTATGAGTGTGTATATGTGTGTGCATATACATAGGGTATGGAACATGCACGCGTGCGCACACACACACACACACACACACACACACACACATGTATATGTGTGTGCATATACATAGGGTATGGAACATGCACGCGCGCACACACACACACACACACACACACACACACACACACACAGAGAGAGAGAGAGAGAGAGAGAGAGAGAGAGGGAGAGAGAGAGGTACAGCCAGGCATGGCTTGGGAAGTAGAAGCAGGAAGATTGTGAGTTCAAGGCTAGTTTGGGCAATGTAGTAAGGACCTATTTCAAAATTAAGTAAGTAAATAAATAAATGTATGGAGAGCCTGAGAAGTGAAGGCTTGGAAAACAACAGGGAGACTACCAAGGCAAGTAGCCATGGATAATCAGTTCCAGGAAAATGGGGTCTGGAAAGTATCCCAGGCGGTGGTGTGGGTGCCCATGCTGCATCATGAGCAGTCTTTCCTACTCTTAGGGCTTCCCATCTCCACCCTCAAGGCTAGGGTCTCTCAGTCCTCACAGTATGTGCCACAACAAGATGGACAGCATGCTTCTTCACCATGGGGCTTCTATGCTTTGTGGGATGTTTATCACCCCTCTTGGCTAGATGCTGGGCTAGCATCATCTTCCCACTGCTAAATCTGATCATCATAAATGTCTCCAGATACTGACAATGGCCCAGTGGAACTGCCCAGGACCTGGAGACAGCTGCTCTGGATGCAAGGCCAGGGGTTCTGTCAGATTCCCCGCAGCTCTACCCGAGGATGCTCTTGAGGGACGTGGCTTGATTTCCCTTCCTGCTCTTTCTAGTTAATGCTTTGTCCTTTGTGGAACAAACAACACAAAAAATAGATCTAGGGATATAGAGATGGCTCATTGTCTCACAACTGAGGACCTGAGTTTGATCCCCCAGAACATGAATGGTGCATGAATGGTGGTGTGTGCTTAGAATCCCAGCATTGAGGAGACAGGATCAGGAAGATTGCTGGGGCTCTCTGGCAGCCAGTCTGGCATACTTAGTGAGCTCCAGACCCTGTCTCAAAGGCAGTAGATGGCGTTCCTATGGATGACACCAAGGTTGTCACCTGGCCACCACAAGCAAGGGCAAATAGTAACTGCAATGCTTATGACAGCACAAAACATGCACATACACATACATGTAGTAGCTGTACATGTATGTACATATGTGTAGGATATGGGACACACACACACACACACACACACACACACACACACACACACACACACACGTGCACGCGCGCACACGCAGAGGTGGTTTGGTGTGGAGAAGGCACAAGGATGTGGCATCTGGAGTTCACTGTATCCCTTGATGTCATATTGGGCAAGGCACAAAATTTCAGTCTCAGTATTTCTCATTGTGAAACTTTGTAGTTGTTTTCACTGACGATATGGGTTTTGTTTGTTTGTTTGTTTTTGTTTTGTCGTTGTCGCTTGTTTTATTTTCAGACAGTCTTATCTTGTAACCCTGGCTGGCCTGGCACTCATTATTAAACCAGGCTAGCTTCAAACTCACAGTGATCCTCCTGCCTCTTCCTCCCAGAGTGCTGGGATTAAAGGCCTGTGCCACCACATCCAGCTACTCATGTGACTTTAAAAGGCTAAGAACACACACTAACGGGCCATGCACTTTTCTGATCTCTCCTGAGGGCAGGAACCATGTTTCCATCACAGCTAACTCTTTGCTTGTGGTGACTACTACTTAGAGCTTACAATGCTGTGGGTAGGTACTCGTACAAAAATCACAACTGTATTTCTATGTAAACCCAAGCTTGCCAGAGCAAACACAGCCTGCTTCCCTGAAGGTACCTCCAAGCCTGTTGTTTTGGGTAGAAACATGTCCTCTGTGATGGCTAATTTTGGTCAACTTGACTACGTCTAGAATCAACTAATAGAATCACAGAAGAAGGAAGCTTTTGCTTTTTGCCTGCTTGCCCTCACTTGGTTTCTCTGTATTGCTTTGGAGCCTGTCTTGGAACTCTCTCTGTAAACCAGGCTGGCTTCACCTGCCTCTGCCTCCTGAGTGCTGGGATTAAAGGTGTATGCCACCAATGCCCGGCTTGCCCTCACTTTTGATGGCAAGCTCACCTATCCTTTTGCTGAGGCATTCCTTCACTGATGTTAGAATCTACTTTCTAGGAAGTCTCTCTGGGACTCCAGCACCAAACTGGGACTGCTGAGACATCCAGTCTCATGAGCTGAACAATTACGAGATTCTTGGCTTTTCTGTCAGGAGACAGCCATTGTGCTACTCTAACGCTGCTTATAAGCCACTCTGGTAATCAATGTGTGTGTGTGTGTGTGTGTGTGTGTATTCATTTTATCAGTTCTGTTCTTTTAGAAAACTCTAACACCCTTCCAAACTCATACACTGACATTCTGACCCCAGCACCTCTAAAGTCAATGTCCTTGGCCGTCACTAAAGACCTTGCTAATAGAACTCATGAAGACAGCAAGATCATTCCAATGGGTGCAAATCAACACAACTAGTGTCATCCTATAAGAAAGGAACAAGGTTAGTGGTACAGCTCATTCGGTAAAGTGCTTGCAACTCTAATGCCCAAAGCCTACAGACAAAAGCTGGGCACATGTAATCCTGGTGCTGGGGAGGTAGAGTAAGCCAGATCCTGGAGCTTTCTGGATGGTCTAGCCTAATCTGTAATCTCCGGGGCAGTGAGAGACCTTGCCTCAAAGGAAGTGATACCTGAGGTTTCTGTGGTGGTTTGAGTGAGAATGCTCCTGCAGAAGCTCATATATTTGAATGCTTGCTTCCTAGTTGGTGGAACTATTTGGGAAGGATTAGGAAGTGTGGCCTTGTTGAAGGAGGTGTGTCATTGGGAATGGGTTTTGAGGCTTCAAAAGTTCACATCTTGTCCAATTAGCATTCTGCTTCGTAGCTGTGTTTCAATGTATGAGCTCTTAGCTACCGCTCCAGTGCCATGCCTGCCTGCTGCCATGCTCCATGATGGTCACAGACTCTCACCCTCTGAAACTCTAATCCCCCAATAAACTTTTCCTTTTAGAAGTCACCTTGGTCATGGCATCTTAGCAACAGAAGAGTAACTCAGACAGTTGTCATTTGGCCTCCATATACACACACGTGCAAGGACGCCCTCACACATACATGTACCTATACACACACACAAATACACATTAGAAAAATAGGGGAACACCTGACCACAGATACAGATAGGCCTAGAAGGAAGATGACATACAGACAAATCTTCCAGTCAAGGAGAGGGGTCTGGACCCTCCTACCCCCACCCCCCAGGCTGCTGTCAACTGATTTTAGACTTCTGGTCTCCAGGGAATGAGAAAACATATTTCCATTGTTGAGGCCACTTCCAGTGGGCTGTGTCAGCCTCTCATCACATTGCCGCTGGGGACTTTCTAAGGGACTACTAGGCTAGGGCAATTACTGCCAGGTGGACTCCTGTGTATATATGCCAGATTAAATTCTTAAGTACACCGGTGACCTGGCCTTGAACTCACAGAGGATCTGTCTGCCTATGCCTCAGGAGTGCTGGAATTTACCTTCTAAGAATAGCATCTTGTATACTACTGGTGGGGTGGAAGGAATAGACTTCTCGCATGTACTGGAGGTGTCTTTAGAATGGCCATGCTTTGGCCTTCTTGACTTTCTTGGCTCTGGTGGCCTCAAAGACAGTCTCTTCCTAAGAGTGACAAAGCAGCTATGCTTTAGGAGAGATGTCTGGGGATTTGCAGGCCCCCAGCGGCACCAGGGGCAAAGCATCCCGGTCACACTCACCCACCACCAGCAGTGCCACTTGACTTACCACCCAGTCCCTGCGGCTGATCATGGTCATGATGATCTGGTACTGGAAGTACATAGGGATGAGCAGCGGAGGTCCAACTGTAGAGAGAACAGACGGCCTGTCAGAGGTGAAGGAGCCAGCTCGACACCACCTGCAGGGCAGCTCAACAGTCAGGTGCCTGGGAGTCTAGATGAAGGTAACAGGTCCAGAGGTGTTTGCACAAGCTGGCTGCTGGCACCCTTCTTTTGAATAGGTGTGCTGTCACTCTGCCAGTTTGAAAGGGTATGGGAGGAAATGGGACAGATGAACCCACGGGGTTGGGGATCTCTAGCCCTCAAACTCACTCAGGAAGAAGTATTCATGCTGGTGGTTGTAGGGCAGGTATTTCAGCTTCTTCTTGCCATACTGAGGAGAGAAGAGAGAGGAGAGAGGGTGAACATGAGCCTCCGTACCCCCGCTTTATTCACCACCCTCCTAAGCAGAGACCTCATCCCTCTCCCACCTGTCTGTATCTGGGCCCAACAAAGCTAGCAGCTGCCAGTTTGCTGGGGCCTGACTGCACATGCCACTGTTTTTACTGGAGTTAGGGTCAGACCTGGTGAGTTATGCTCACTCACCTGTCTGCAATGGACCAATTAAAGAAATGTGTTAATGGAAAAAAACAGAGAAGGGAAATTTAGTCAGTGAAGTCACATTGTAAAGAAAAAATGAAGAGGTCCAGTGAACCACACTATACCATACCCCTGTCCATCGTTGGGATCCTAAAACGAGGTTTTGATTTAAACCAAAAGCTAGAGGAATATATAACTAAGAGGGTTTGGTCAAAGTGTGGCCCCGACCATCACTGATGCATCTTTGTCTCTGTTCCAGTCGTTCCTGCAAGGTGGTCTGACAAGTTCTCAGAATTGTGTGAGCTCTCTCTGGGAGACAAGCTCTTTCCCAGCTGGCACCAGGCTTCAGACTTTCCCTTCTCCCAGCATGCAATTCCTGGGTAATTTCCAATTTCTTAGGGGCTATTGTTCAATAGTCTGAGAGCCAAAGGGAGTGGGCATAAATTTCTCTTTAGAATACCTTCATCCCTGCCAGCACTGTGAGGCCCAAATCCCAGGCCAATTTGCAGGTTGGTGGCTGAAGTTCAGGCTCAGAGTCAATCACAGTCCAAGGCCATGAGAAGTGGGCCTGCTGTTTGTCTTTTTTTTCTCCCTCTTGTAGTTTTGTTGGGAGTGTTGGTGATGGACTCCAGGGCTTAATCCATGTTAACCAAGTCCTCTGCCACTAAGCTACACTCCTAGCCCTTGGGCCAACTTGGAGATGAACAATAAAAAAGCTTTCATAAGCCTAGGTACCCCACAGGGAGCTTCTGGGACTGTTTCTACCCTTCTGGGAATGACAGAGGCTCCCAGGTCTCAATGGGGGCACTCCTTGGAGACTATTAGCAGCTAAGAGAAGCCAAACAAAGCCCAGGAATCCTTAACAGTCATCATCCTGGGAACATCTATTCTTGAAATCTCATAGTCATTTCTAAAGACTAACCTCTTTCCCCAGCGGCTCTTGATGCATGAGGAAGCCATCTAGACAGAAAAAGAGTCCCTGCAGGGCTGGAGAGATGGCCTATGTGTTAAGAGCACTCTTTGTTTTAGAAGACCCAGGCCTGGTTCCCAGCACCAACATGGTGACTCACAACCATCTATAACTCCAGTTCCAGGGGATCCAATGCCCTCTCCTGACCTCTATGGGCACCATACACTCAGGAGGTGCACAAACACAAAACAGTTATATACATAAAATAAAATATGCATGAAATAAAATAGAAGCAGAAGCAGCAGACACCCTTTAATTCCAGGGCCTGACTTCTAGGGAGCGGTCCACCCAACACTGCCATGGATCAAGGAGCACCTGTTCTTTTTGCTTACAATACTGGACTGGGGTGGTGAGGGGGGAGTGGGGGGAGTGTAAGCCTGTGCTTGGAGTCAATAGATACTTATTAGATGCTGCTTCTTGCCCTAGGTCTCTAGGTCTCTAGGTCCCTAGGTCTCTCTGAGCATGTTTTGGCTTCCAAGTTATTGGTTGTAACAGCAGGTCCCTAGGTCTCTCTGAGCATGTTTTGGCTTCCAAGTTATTGGTTGTTAAGTGGTGCCAATGGGAACTTTGATGTAAAGACACACTGACACCAGGACAATGCCACCCTTCTCTCTCCAGATCCAAAATTTAAGTCACACTCCTCAAACACTTTTGGGGGTTGGGAAAGCAAAATAAGTTACAGATGGAAGAAAACTTGGGTGTCTCCTAGGCTTGACACCCCTGTCCTCCAAGTGAGAACACAGAATGGAAAGTGTGTGTCAAAATCACAGAGGCCCATGGGCTCCTACAAGGAAGGGGTGTGGGTGGGAACAAAGTCCAGCCTGTCCCCAGAACATGTGTCTTGGTGCCAGTGGCTATGGTCACATGCCTGCTGAAGGACAACCAGAAATGATCCCTTTGTTCCTTGCAGCCTCCTGTGTCTTGGCAAGGACTCCACACATTCCCAGAAAGTATGTCGTGTACATGCAGTCTGTCATTAGAATCAGGCCTGAGGTTGGCCTTGGAGAGGTCAGAGCGAGGGAATCCTCAGAGGGGCCTTTGATAGTTTCCCAGTAAAGGGAGGGGATGTGAAAAGTAGGCACAGAGGGAAAAGAGATACACGCCCCCTAAGGTGCCCAGTGAGTGGGGAGAGCAGCAGCCTAGGGGGACATGAGGACAGGCCCTGGGTCCTGCTCTGACCTCTTCCCAGGAGCCAGAGAACCAACACCCAGACCCAAACTCTGAGTGCAGGCTTCTCAGCCCTGGCTGCTGGCCTTTATCTGTTCCTTCTTGAGACTGTGCTGGCTGTTTTTATGACAATGACACTAAGTCACTGGAGAGGAGGGAGCCTCAACTGAAAAAAATGCCTCAGTAAGATCAGATTATAGGCAAGCCAGCAGGGCATTTTCTTAGTGATTGATGCCTATTGTGGGTGGGGTCCCCTGGGCAGGTGGTCCTGGGTTCTATAAGAAAGCAGGCTGAACAAGCCATGGGGAGTAAGCCGAGAAGCAGAGTTCCTCTATGGCCTCTGCATCAGCTCCTGCCTCCAGGTTCCTGCCCCCACTTAAGTTCCTGTCCTGACTTTCTTCAGTGATGGACTATGATGTGGAGGTGTAACCAGAATAAACCCTTTCCTCCCCAATTTGCTTTTGGTCATGGTGTTTGATCATAGCAATACAGAGACTGAACACCAAGGACAATCTTCAGGTCAGTAGAGGCCAGAAGGTCCCTTTAGAAGACCATGGGAGAGGGTCACCAGGGGGACCATTTGAAGGTTGTATAGCAAGTACTGCTTTCACTGGTTTATGGTCACTGAGAGGGATAACTGAGTCTGTTGGGCTATCTCCAGCTGGTAAGCATTGTTGGCTCATACATGCACTTTTCAACATCCCAGAATGACCCACCGATACCCCAGGACACCACCAGGACACCCCAGACAGTGGCAGGTCTCAGAATTAGCCTCTATGGATGCCCAGTCTTGGGGATGCAGGGACTCACATTTGGAAACAATTCTCCATTAAACCAAAGTGCTTAACCTCCCTAACCTTTGGGTTCCTTGCTGCACAGTGGAGGTATGATGTATACTTCATAGCGGTTCTAAGAGTCCAGTGGATGAAGCAGATACAAAGGCCTATGGGATGGTGAGCAGAGTGTCATTTATAGTAACATCTATATGCACAAAGTGACATGTTGACACAGCTCTGCATGTCTGTTTCCAACTCCATAGCCTCTGAAAGGACAGCTACAAAGGGATGTTAGCATTTGGCCAAACCACCTCTCTTATCCAAAGCTCATTCGGATGGTTAATATTGATTATCAACTTCCTGGTGATTCTAGATTTGAGTTCATTGAGGTTGCAAACCCCATCTTGAACGCACCATATCAAGGTGGCACCATGACATGCGTTAAGGTCTTAAACTGAATAAAAAGGAAAGTAAGCTGAGTACCAGCATTCATCTCTCCCTGATTCCTGACTGGTTCTCCACCCCGATGGACTGAATCCCCTCGAACGGAAAGCCAAAGAAATTCCACCTCCCCTCCTCTAAGTTGCTTCTTGTCAGGTTTTCAGTCAAAGCAATGAGGAAGAAACAGGTACACTCACAAAGCACAAACTGTGGTCTTAGGGACACCAGGCCCGGCCCTTTGATGACTTGCCAGCTTGTTTTACTTGGCCCAGAGCTTGTTAAGTCATGTGATCAAGGAAAGGATGGAGAAGGAGTTTTGGAAAGCTCCGAGCTAGGAGGGTGAACATGTGGCTTCGTTTCAGAAAGCTGGACTTACCAACAGAGGCATTTCCAAGGCTGGCAAGCTGGTGGCCTGGATGGCAGCTCTACCTTGACTTTGAGTATGTCATTTTCTTTCTGCCTTAGTGGTTCTAGTTACATAAAGATTGATGGCAGGTCCTGCCTCACAGGTTAAATAAGGAGTAAATGGTGTTTTGCACACCTGGTAGATACTCCTTGGGGTGCAGGCCTACAAACAACTCACTCAGCAACTTACTCTTCCTTCCAGCTGGGAGGTGCTGGGGACCAAAGTATGGGGAGCAGGGGTTCCTGCTCCTCTCCTCTCCCACACAGGAAAGAAGCTGGGGAGACAGCACAATTAGAAGGGAAGGACCAGGAAGACAAATGACACTTTCACTAACTAATCTCTTGTGGCCAGAGCCCAAAAATGGAGATGGCAGCACATGCTGAGCTCTCACTGAACTGGAACAGCTGAAGACCACAGATGTGGAACCCACAAAGGGCAGGGAGCGGGAAGTGCAACCAGCTCTAGTGGCCAGTGTGACCAGCTTCTCCACCACAGGCCAGATGTGACAGTTAGTAATGATTGCCAACTTGACAAGATCTAGAACCACTAGGAGATAAGCCTTCTGGGTTTGTCTGTGAGGGAATATTTAGATTAGGGTAATTGAGGTGGAACACCCACTTTACTTATGGGTGGTACCATTTCTTAGGCTGTGGTCTTGGACAGAATATAAAACAGAAAGCAAACTGAACACTAGCATTCACCTCCACTTCATGACTGTGGATGCAATGTGAGCAGCCAGCCTCCTGTTCCTTCCACCATGCCTTCCTTCTCTACCATAATGGAATGACTCCCCTGGACCTCTAAGTCAGAATAAGTCCTTTCTTCCTTAAGTGGCTTCTTGTTAGGTTTTTTTGTCTCAACAATGAGAAAACTAATATATAGAACTGGTACCAAGAAGCATGGCCATTGTGTGGTTGGTAGTGCTTGGGACTGGCTTGTGGGAGGAATGTGGAAGAGTTTGCAGCTGTAAGCTTAAGAAGCCCTAAAATGCTGTAAAAAGGGCTTACTGGCTTACTGCATCAAGTTTGGAAGAT